GGGGGACTGTAGGGACAGAAGGAAGGAGTCTATCTGGATGGGAGCGCCTGGAGCTCAAAAAGATGGGGCTGTAGGATTGAAAAGAAAGGGTCCAGGGCTCCTGGGAGTCGGAAGTCCTGGAGGGTGGACTTAGAGACAGGGCTGGCCAGAGTATTTCTCTGGCTTGCAGGGTCCGGAAAGGGGGGGCCAAAGCTCTAAGGGCCTGGGATCTGGTGCACGTTGGTCTGGGAAGCTTGGAGGCCGGGCGGCCCTCTCCCAACTGGCTGACTAGCTTAGTTCTATTGTCCCCGCAGGTACGTGCGCCCGCTGCACACTCTCCTAAGCGCGCTGGTAGTGGCAGTGGCCCTCGGGGTGCTGGTGTGGGCGGCTGAGAGTCGCGCGGCCGTGCGCCGCTGCCGCCGCAGTCACCCCGCCGCCTGCCTGGCCGCAGTGCTTGCCGTTGGCCTCCTGGTCCTCTGGGCGGTGGGCGGCGCTTGCACTTTCCTGCTCAGCATTGCCGGGCCAGTGCTCCGTGAGTCTCCCCTACCCTGAGATACCCGGGAACAAGGCCAGCGCGTGCGCGTGGCGCCAGGCCGGCCCTGCCCTGGTTCTTGGGGAGGAGGGGGGGCTGGGAGACTGGGCGGGCAAGGCCACACCCCTTTACAAAGCACCTTCCTTGGCTAAGTTCTCCTCTTCTGGGAACGCCTCTTAATACCGCCTTTCCGGGCCTCACTCCTGGTACTAAGTGCCTTCCACCAGCCACTTCCCAGTTACCGCCAGCCCTCCCCCGGCCACAACCCTGTTACAAAGTGTTCCTCAGCCACAGTTTCAGGATCAGAGGTGTCCTGTCCACTGACCATTCTATTGGCCTGACCACTCCAGTTCCTCTGTGGGCCCCCATTGGCTAAAAGCTGATGTCCCTTTCCACTGACCCCACTCCTTTTGGTATTGCCCACAGTGATCCTGGTGCACGCCTCGCTGCGCCTGCGCAACCTCAAGAACAAGATAGAGAACAAGATTGAGAGCATTGGTCTCAAGCGGACACCAATGGGGCTGCTACTGGAAGCACTGGGACAAGAGCAGGAGGCTGGATCCTAGGGCCTTGGGATCTATCTGTACCCATGACCTGGAGAATCCCAACCCCAACCCCAACCCATAACCGGGATTTAGAGCCTTTTCCCAGTCCTTAAAATAGGAGCCTCTTGCCCAGTTAAAAAAGCAGGGCATCTGTAATACTCCCCCTACCCCACCCCTAGATCCAAAACTACCCAGTCCCCATTGCCTAGGGGAACAGAGTCTTCCCCAGCCCTGAACTTGAGACACAGAGCCACTCATCCATCCAGCCCAGAAGTGGGGCTTAGAGATTAGAGTATCCATGGCCAATATCAAATTCTGGATGGAACCCTCCCACAAACCTAATCTGGGACCCACTTGTCTCCCATGCTCAGTCCCAAAGCTGGGGTGTGGGACCGAGACATTCTCAAATCTTGAGTCTTAGATCAAGGCTTTTCCAGACCACACCCCAGCTTTGAACCCAGAACAAGGCATTGCCAAATCTTGACCCCAGGACCAAAGTGTTCTCAGTCCCCTCTGGGTAGAAGTCAGGTATCCTGATCCTGTTGAACCCTTGGTCCCCAGTAACCCCAACACTCACCAGTCCCATTTGCCTCCCTTCAGCTCTGCTTAGGGATTCTGCCCCTCACCCCCCCCCACCCACCCACACACACACAAGTTCCACGGTGGTGATGACCATGGGGTGGGGGTAGCGCTGACCTGGAATGAGGCATATATATCAGTGTTATTGCAACAATAAAAGCTGTTACATCGCTCAAGCCAATTGGGCCTATCATAGTGGCCTCTGCTTTTCAATTCTGCTAGATTCTTTATGACTGGGTCGGTCTCTGTCAAATATGTGGGCTGATGGGGTGATCTCTCCTTCCAGGAACTTGTTCATCTCTGGCATTTACACACGGAGTTAAGGGCATGCAGTGTTCCCATTTTCATTTGTATTACTAAGGGCTCTTGTTCGGCGTAGGCTAGGAATCTGGCCACAGACAGGCCAAGAAGTTGCCCCACATCACAAAACCAGTAAAGCCAAAGCAGATGACATTATCACAGGCTGTTTCCATGGTGTTCTACTTTTTCATAACACGGTGTTATAAAAACATATCTGGTCTGAACGATGGGTGTGGGCCCCAAGGCAAGGCAGGGAGAAGAGCCACACGTGGGTTCGGTTTACACATTTATTCTAAAAATCCTCTTCCAGTGTGGGTAGTGTCTTGGGCCCAGATCGGCTGATACAAAAAGAAAAGTTTTAACACCAGGTAAAGGGGGTATGTTGACCCCCAGCTCCAGAAAGTCACAGACAGGTATCATAGAAAACACAGCTTGTGTATATTTGTTTAAAAAGTGGTGGATGGAAGGAAAGTCAAGGAAGATGTGACGCAGCCTGTGGCCAGGCGTCACCTGAGGATTTTACTGGCACCTATCAGGTGCCAGGTTCCACCACGGAAGCATCCCAGGACACAACACACCTGATGGCTCTGTCCTTGGACCCTCCTGTGGAGCCCCCAGAATGGGGATAGGGTAGAGGCTGCCACCAAAGGCTGGGTCATCTCACCCTGGGGGCAGAGGAAGCGGGCACAGACAGGCAGGCAGGGACTGGGGCTCCTTCCTACACCCCTGGGGTGGGAAGATGAACCCAAGCCCCCCACCAAATGTGGGCAGAGAGCTCACCTCCCCAAGAACTACCCTGGTGGGGGATGGCAGAGAGTTCTGTTCACACCAGAGTCCCTAGCTGCCCCGAACAGGGCCATGTGACTATATGGTCCATTTCATGGGAGGGGTTCCTGAATGGAACAGGCTGGGCATGGGACAGGAATGAACCCAACCAGACAAGATCACAGTTTCCCTTTTATAAAACGTCTAGTGTTGGGGAAAGACAGTGAAAACCTAAATCACAACTGTAAACAGAAATGGAGGAAGGGGCTTGGAGCCCCCATTATACCATCCCCCACTTTTAAGCTGGCTGAGGGCCCCCAGTTCTCAGCACAGTATGAGAGGAGAAGTGGGGTATCAGACACCTTCATGGGCCCACAGGGAGCTGGGGGCCTTGGAAGATCAGGTTGGCGCCCCCTGCCCAGGACTAAGAGCAACCGTACCCCAGGGCTCAGCGAGGTCAGCGTGTGCTCCCCAGACTGGAGTCATGCCCAGGCCAACAAGGAGCATATCAGAAGGGGTCAGACCAGTGTCCCCGGGGTCTGAGGGTCAGAACTGGAGGACTGCTCCCCCTCTAGCGTCAGGTCACTTAAACGAGCGCTCAGCTCCGGGGGGTACAGGAAGTCCGCGTAGTATCTTTGGAAGGGGTAGCAGGAATCCGGAGGACAGGGTGGGAAGACAGAGAAGAGAGGAAAAGACGTACAAGACACAGAAAGAGAGGAAAAGAGGCTCGTTAAAGAGGTGGAGAGAGGCACAGGACAGCACCTTGAGGCTGGCAAGCAGGGGGCGTGGTTAAAAGAGGAAGAGAAAGGCAAGGGCACAGGATGTCCCTTCCTCCCGGCACCCTGGTTCCATGTCCATTTTCAGCTGACATGCACTGCTTGTTAAAATATTAAAATTCTATATCTTGTCAAGGAACTGCTGCTCCCACGGTCCAAGATACCCCTCCACCGAGACCCCATGGACTAATGTGGTCATGCAGGCCAGAGACCCTGTGCTAAGCTGCAGCAGCACTCA